GGGGCACGAACCCGTGTCCCCTGCATCGGCAGGCAGGCGGACTCCCAACCACTGCGCCACCAGGGAAGCCCAAGGGTTGTCATTTAAAAGAATGATTAATCTAAATCATCATGGCCCAAAGGTGTGAATGAAACTATGGCTTGGTGAGTAGAAAACAGCAAAGTTTTCAGTTAAGTTGTTCTAACAAAATGGATTTCCTAGGAGGTAGGAGATTCCATTATCGGTGCTTTTCCACAGGACGTTGATTGTCCTGGGATTAATGGCATACAGGAGATAATATTGATATAATTTGGTGAGTTGTTGAACTTCATGATAGCCAAGGTATTTTCCAATCCTGAGCTTATGATTCTAATATTTGATAACACAATGGATTTGCCACTTGTGCATCTAAATTTGTTATGCACGTGTAAAGTAGACAATTCAGAATATATCTTGAAAATGAGTGAGAACTTCCTTTGTAATCTGAAATTGTCAGTGTTTGTAAAGAAAGATAGTACTGAGTTGATATCTTTAAGTTAGCTGCTAAAGGATAATTAATGCATGTTTTTCTAAATCGATATTTACTTTCAGCAATTATTGTAGAATTATTTATTTCAAGATTCCAGGTGTATATGACTAACCAAGAGATTCCAGTCATACACATTTCAAATATAATTTGTTTGGACATTTGTGATATAATTCTTTAATGGTTTAATCAGAATTGAATAGAATTCAGGTTTTAAAGAACTTGAATCTTGGATATTGGTCGTGGGAGTCAGATGGTCTTTAATATTAAGATTTGTTTCACACACTGTGAGAGTGTAAATGTTATTTTAGTATACTACGAATTTTGGATGATTTAAACTAATCTTGTACCTCCATTGTTAAAAACAAAACTCACTAACCGTTTCATGGTTGGTAGACTGGTTTATTTTATTTCCTTATCTGCTGAGTAACTGGGATACTAGGTAGTTTACTTTATTCTCTTATCTGAATTACCCGTGAACATTTCGTTTAAACAAATAAAATATTTCACTGACAGAAAAACTGTTAGATTCTACTCTCACAATAGTCATTCATTCATGTGGACTGAACAAGTGTTAAAGCCTGGCAATCATGGACTTTGCTAAGTTGTGGCTGAGGCTCTTTGACTTACATACTATAGATCATTATTAAAAAGATAGGCAATCTGAGATTTTGAGCATATAGTGATTTGGAAGCACCAGAAAAAAAATCTACCAAATTATTGGGCTATTTTATCACTTGTGAAAACCACCCATTCTGATCAAGTGACGTCAAAGGGGAAGAAGTAAAATCTCAGAGAGAATCATTGGAAGAATCCTACATCTTTGCCTGGGAATGAAAACCTAAACAGAACTCCAAACAAACGGTTCTTCAGGGAAAAAAAAGTCCCATAAAGAAAGGAGAGGAGGTGAATAACTCACTGTCTGGGAAGATGAATAGACTCTTCATAGAATTTTTTTATGTAAGTAAACAAATGAAGGTCAAGATTCTTCCCAATAACTCAATCAATAATAACATACTCCCTTTAAAAATACATTATTTCGATTTTATACAGTAGTTTTATGTTATATTTAAACACCTCTTGGTGGTTGAGTAGAAATTTTTAATATTTAATTTTATGTTGTAAAGTAACTTTAAAAACTTGATTGTGTCCCTTATCTAGATCTTATTTATTTAGCTCCAAAGAAGGTACCCAGAAGTATTGTTAATCGAGACTTTTTAAAAACAGAATAAGAGACAAATGTGAGATTACGCTATGAATTTTGAAGTATCAAGAAGAAAAAAATTATGACATTGGGAGCCATAATATATGGACATGAAGGTTTTGTTTGAAAATATCTGCAAGTACTTATGATCTTTAATGACCATATACTTTGCTTACATCAACAAGAAATTCAAGATTGCTACTAAACTAATAGTTTTAAACTCCTGGTTATGTAATTAATCTACAATACTCATATTGGTTCCTTTGAACAACAAAAAAGTTCTTTTATCTACTAGGTGAAAGCAAGTATGATGTGATTATTTTGATAGATTGAAACGGCATTTCATTCGAAGTATTTCCTGTATTTTGACGTAAGGCCATCAGAGAGCAGAAATAGATTACTTAGTTAGGAACTTCTCACCAACTGAGCTAAGCTTTTACAGTGTCACTTCTAGTTCTCCCTTCTGGTGCTACTAGCTACTCCCCAGGCCTTAAAATAATTTACAAAGCAAGGTGATTTCTTGCCAGGTCTTCATTTCAGAACAGGTCTCTCTCTTCTGCAACTATGTGGAAGGAATTTGTTTTATTTCTGCCAGCTGAGAGTAACCTCAGATCCATCAACAATTGAGTTTTACTTCGTTAACATCAGTGGAGCAAGTGAGTACCTCTAAGGATCCTCTCAGGACAGTCCTGCATCTATCCTCAAAGGCTGTTTAGAGACCCATCTTTTCTCAATTATAGGGTAGGGTGATTATTTAAATTGCATAATGAAAAGAAACAGTGAAGCCAACACTCATTTCCTTATGAATCCACAGCCAGTAGAATCTGCAAATTTATGCCTTCTGTATAAAATGAGTTGCTTCTGTAGCTGATTGGAGCTGCTTGGCTTCTCACCTCATCTCTAATGGCACTTTTTGAGCATAAAGCATCAGCCAAGGCCGACAATGATTCCCTTTTTTCTTCTTAGGAGACTGAGAATGAGGATATTTGTATTCCTACATTGGTTCTACCATTATATAGTCAAGGATAAAGCAATTCCCTCTCATTTTAAAAATCATTAAAATGAAGGTATTGGACTAAACAATCTCTAAGATTCCATTCAATACAAAATGTTATTAAATTATCTCTCTATATGTTAAAGAAAAAATGGACTGTCTGCCTTCCATGGTGGTGTCTAGAACATAGTATATGTTCAATATTATTGAATTAACTTAAATGTATATGCTGATATAAACATTTTCTACATAACATCTTTCTTATGTATACACACCTTTTAAAAATAAGTCATACTTTTTTATCTGCAATGACTGATTTTTATCTATGTGCAATAAGGTCTGAGGCAATGTCTAAGAATCATTTCAAAATTGCAGTGCAGAGCAGAGAGTTAAAAATCTGGGATTAATAAACACCCATCCATGAACATTGTTGCATTAGTGCACAGTTGCTTAAAATTTAATTTTAAATGATATCAGAGTTGTATGAATTGAAGAAATATAAATGGGAGAATTTTGAAGGATAAAACAACTTTCTGAAAAAATCAATTATTTTGCTTCAATATGGTGCAGTAACTTAGTAAGGACTCTGAGCGCCGCTGTTCACCAGCCAGGGGAAAAATGGTTCAAAAGATCCGCCAGAACCACTGAGCTTTTACAGCACAAAGAAACGCCAGACTGAGACAAATTCTCTTCCAAGCTGCACTAAACTCAGGCCTCTATACCACTGGATTCTGGGCTCCTTTTCCGAATACAGAGGGCTCCACGCAGACATACTGGCATCCAGAAACACAACAGGAGATAGGCCAGTGTCTAAAGATGAGCAGAACAAGAATGGCGGCTCCGGAGAGGGGAGGGGACTACAGAGGATTCATCCTGCTCTCCATCCTCCTGGGGACCCAGAGGGAAGTTTCGGCAGGACGTATTCTCTACTCCATTCCGGAGGAGACAGACACAGGGTCTTTTGTGGGTAATATCGCCAAGGACCTGGGGTTGGAGCCCTGGGAGCTGGCGGAGCGGGGAGTCCGCATTGTCTCCAGAGGTAGGACGCAGCTCTTTGCTCTGAATCCGCGAAGCGGCAGTTTGGTCACCGCGGGCAGGATAGACCGGGAGGAGCTCTGCGCGCAGAGCGTGCGGTGTCTGGTGAACTTTAACATCCTGATGGAAGATAAAATGAACCTTTACCCTATAGAAGTGGAAATAATGGATGTTAATGACAACACTCCTAAATTCCTGACGGAAGAAATGAATGTGAAAATAATGGAGAATACATCTCCTGGGGTGCGATTTCCGTTAAATGAGGCTAGGGATCTGGATGTGGGCACGAACTCTCTCCAGAGCTACCATCTCAACCCCAATCGCCACTTCTCCCTGGTTGTGCAAACTGGAGAGGATGGAACTAAATATCCGGAATTAGTGCTGGAGCGCGTGCTGGACCGGGAGGAAGTGACAGCTCACCACCTCCTCCTCACAGCCTCTGACGGCGGTGATCCACCCAGATCCGGAACCGCCCGTGTCCAAGTAACAGTGGTGGACGTGAATGATCATGCACCAGTCTTCTCTTTGCCCCAGTACCAAGTAACTGTCCCTGAGAACGTGCCAGTGGGCACAAGACTACTCACGGTAAATGCTATCGACCTGGATGAGGGAGTCAATGGGGAAGTGACATACTCTTTTAGGAAAATAACTCCAAAAATTCTACAGATATTCCAGCTGAACTCCCACACAGGAGAATTATCAACTTTAGATGGCCTAGATTATGAAGAATCTGGCTACTATGAAATGGAAGTTCAAGCTCAGGATGGTGCTGGTAGCATGACAAGGGCTAAAGTACTGATCACAATTTTAGATGTGAATGACAATGCCCCGGAAATGACTGTAACATCTGTAAGCAGCTCAGTCCCTGAAAACACTCCTCCTGGAACAGTAATTGCTCTTTTCTACCTTCAAGACCGAGATTCTGGGAAAAATGGCCAGGTGACCTGCACTGTTTCAGAAAATCTGCCTTTTAAATTAGAAAGATCAATAGACAATTATTATAGGTTGGTGACAGCAAAAAACCTAGACCGGGAAAAATTTTCTGTATATAACATCACACTGAAAGCCACAGATGGTGGAAGCCCGCCCTTGTCAACGGAAACTCACATCTCCATGAATGTGGCAGACACCAACGACAACCCACCTGCCTTCCCCCACTCCTCCTACTCCGTCTTTGTGCCTGAGAACAACCCCAGAGGCACCTCCATCTTCTCTGTGACTGCATGTGACCCTGACAGCCACGAGAACGCCCATGTCACATACTCCGTATCTGAAGATACTCTCCAGGGGCCATCTGTATCCTCCTATGTTTCCATCAACTCCAATACTGGAGTCCTGTATGCATTGCGCTCCTTCGACTATGAGCAGTTTCATGATCTGCAATTGAGAGTGACTGCAAGTGACAGCGGGGACCCGCCGCTCAGCAGCAACGTGTCTCTGAGCATATTCGTGCTGGACCAGAACGACAACACACCTGAGATTCTGTACCCCGCCCTCCCCACCGACGGTTCCACGGGTGTAGAGCTGGCACCCCGCTCTGCAGAGCCTGGCTACCTGGTGACCAAGGTGGTGGCTGTGGACAGAGACTCGGGCCAGAACGCCTGGCTGTCCTACCGCCTGCTCAAGGCCAGCGATCCAGGACTCTTCGCAGTGGGGCTGCACACGGGCGAGGTGCGCACAGCGCGGGCCCTGCTGGACAGAGACGCGCTCAAGCAGATCCTGGTGGTGGCGGTCCAGGACCACGGCCAGCCCCCTCTCTCCGCCACAGTCACACTCACGGTGGCTGTGGCTGACAGTATCCCAGATGTGCTGGCAGACCTGGGGAGTCTCGAGCGCTCCGCCGACTCTGGCGACTCCGTCCTCACGCTGTACCTGGTGATGGCCGTGGCCGCGGTGTCCTGCGTCTTTCTTGCCTTTGTCGTCGTTCTACTGGCGCTCAGGCTGAGGCGCTGGCACACGTCGCGCCTGCTCCAGGCTTCAGGAGGCGGGTTGCAGGGCGTGCCCGCCTCTCACTTTGTGGGTGTGGACGGGGTGCGGGCTTTCCTGCAGACCTATTCCCACGAGGTCTCGCTCACCGCGGACTCGCGGGGGAGTCAAGTGATCTTCCCGCAGCCCAACTACGCTGACACGCTCATCAGCCAGGAGAGCTGTGAGAATAAGGATCCCTTGTTAACATCCATAGATTTTCATGAATGTAAGGATAAAGCCCAAAGTGTTCAGGTGAGTTCAGTCATTCATTTATCTTTATATTCTTTGAAGAAGTATATTTTGTGTAAATTTCTTTATTGTTTTGCGAAATAAGTGATTTGAAGATGGGTAAAAAAAAAACCCTTTTAAGTGGTAAAGCAAGATTAATCGTTTATTTCAGAGGTGATTCTTTAACATGGAACGCTTACTGACATAGGTTTTGGCATCATATTTATAGTGAAAGCATATGGACAAGATTGTGAATAAGTGGGTAATCGCATTTTTATACCTTCTACTTATGTTCCACATGGTGTTCTTAATTCATGTATTTTATAAATGAGAATGAATTGTTAAGTCTTTCTCATTGCATGAGGTTCTTAAGAAAGTACACTTCTGTTTTCTCAGGGCTCTCTTTAGATCAGACCTATAAAAGGCTCTTGAAAAAATTTTCAGTCTGAAGACTTTTTCTGTGCCTTGCTTCCGCTTCCATGTAACTCCCCCTGGTGACCTTGAAAACCTCCATGGCTTTTGACCTATTTAAACCATAATTGTCTCTTAAAGTCAGGTCCTGGTAGAAGGTTAGATGGATGCCTAAAGAATGAAATGTGTGTGTGTGTCAGGCTTCACTGAGATCTTTATCAATGACAGGCATGGAGTCTAATACCACACTAAAGGTCCTTGTCCAAAACCAATAAAATGTGACATCAAATAAAATGCCATTCAAGTGTCATAAGTAACATTTGTGAAATAGGCCATTGCATGTTTTTACCCCAAATTCTAATGTTCTGTGTTAGTGATGCAGTCATTCAAAGTGTGTATGTGGGCTCTATAAGTGGGAGATTTGGGATGCTGGCTTTATGAAACAACCATCTCATACACTCAAGTCCTAGACCAGTAGTGAATTTTACTTATTGGGTCTGCTGAAAAATTCAGTTAGAAATAATCTAGTCTGCAATTAACTACTTCTATACTTGTTATACAACATTTTAGTATAACTCAGTACATCAGTTGACTAGTATCAGGAAGTAGTTGATGACAAGGTAGTCTTGTTTACTGGGACCTTTTGAGTATTAGGTAAGAGCACATTTTTTCTAGCATAATGTTGTGTTAGGTGGTGTTTTGCATATAAAGGTCTGTGCAGTCCTGTGGGAGTATATTTCATACATTCTGAAGTGTTCAGATGTACAATCACTTGGGGGAGAGGATAATGTTACTGACACTCTGAGGCAGAAATGTGGCTATCATGTATTTTGAAAAAAAAAAACCCCAACCAAATTTATTAGATGATTAAAAATATTTTTAAACAAAGGGAAGAAATCGTCACTAAATTCAGTGAGCTATTGCAAATAAACTTTCTAGGGACTATTTCCTTCAACCGTCATTACGGGATGTGATAAGTACAGAAGTGGGAACAAGTGCCTCAGTACATAGACCATGCATAGTGAGTTTGTGTTGCAAAGCAAAATATATTATTCCCCTGGTAGTTTTGGAGATTTATGTTTTATTTTGTACCCAGGAAAATAATCGTGCAATGGGAAGGAGAGGGATAGGCTCTTTTCTAAAAGGCTGCATCATTTCTTTAAGTGAGATATTGGAAGTTAAAATCAAGAAATGTTACTATAAAGAAATCACTGAAACTATTTTGGAAGAAGAGAGGTAAGTATAAATTGTGCACTTTTAGGGCTTGCTTGGTGGCACAGTGGTTGAGAGTTCGCCTGCCGATGCAGGGGACACGAGTTCGTGCCGCGGAGCGGCTGGGCCCGTGAGCCATGGCCGCTGAGCCTGCGCGTCGGGAGCCTGTGCTCAAAAAAAAAATGTGCCCTTTTAAAAGACAATTTCAGCATTACTGTTGCTCTGTGGAAAAATTGAATTAGGTACCAAAACAGTAAGGGAAAAGGCGACGAGGAAAAAAAAGATAAAACCTTATCCAATATATTGCTAATTAATAAGTATTCACAATTACTATGCTCTGAGATCGTTTAGGCCAAGTCTGTGTTATAGTTATCCTTCTATTACTAGTGCGGATTTGAAAGTCGGGGAATAATTATGTCAGTATATAGATGTTTATATATCAAACCTACCTGATTTACCTAAAAACCTGGAAAGTTGGGATAATGACGTTTCTAATAGTACAAATTAAACGTTATTAAATATACGGACATCTAAAAAAGGTTTTTCAGCTGGGCACAACGGTTATAATTATTTTAGCTGTTTAAACTTAAGCAGCGGGGGCTGCAGTTTCCTAGTGCGGACTCTGGGCGCCGCTGTTGGCCAAAGTGGAGAGCTTGGTGCTGGCGACCTCCTCGCGCAGACGCAGCGCACTTTCCCATCTCAGACTCGCTAGCCTTTCCACCGCTTCCTCCTCTGGAGAAGAAGAAACCCTGCCTGTCCCCCCACGCCGGAATAAAGCTGTTCGGAGCTCCGGACTACTGCGGCACAGAGATTGTAATCCGGCGTCTCCAAGCCGGTGAGCAAGCTGAGGGGAGCAAGAGGGATGGGGAGCGGAGCTGGGGAGAGGGGCTGGGCTGAGAGGCGGCCAGTGCTCTTTCCGTTCCTGCTGTCTTTGTTCTGCCTGGCGCTCTCTGAGCAGATCCGCTACAGGATTCCCGAGGAGATGCCAGAGGGCTCGGTGGTGGGGAACCTCGCCAAGGACCTGAGACTCAGTGTCCACGAGTTACCGACTCGAAAACTGCGGGTCAGTTCGGAGAAGCCTTACTTCACTGTGAGCTCAGAGAGCGGGGAGTTACTTGTTAGCAGCAGGCTAGACCGGGAGCAGATATGCGGGAAGAAGCCGGCTTGTGCTCTAGAATTTGAGGCTGTTGCTGAAAATCCATTGAACTTTTATCACGTGAGTGTGGAGATCGAGGATGTTAATGACCACACACCAAAATTCATGCAAAATTCCTTTGAGCTACAAATAAGTGAGTCCACAAAGCCTGGGGCACGATTTATTTTAGGATCTGCCCATGATGCAGATATTGGTACCAACTCACTACAGAATTACCAGCTCAGTCCTGATGATCATTTCTCACTTGTGATTAAAGAGAAATTAGATGGCAGTAAATACCCTGAGCTGGTACTGAAGACACCTTTAGACAGGGAAGAGCAGACGTCCTACCACTTGACCTTGATGGCCTTGGATTTCGGGGATCCACCCCTAAGCAGTACTGCACAGATACAAGTCCTAGTGACTGATGCCAACGATAACCCTCCAGTATTCAGCCAAGAACTATACAGGGTGGAGCTTCCAGAAAACGTGCTCCCAGGCACCACTGTGCTTCGAGTTATGGCCACCGACCAAGATGAGGGTGTCAATGCCGAGATCACCTTCTCTTTCACTGAAGCAGGCCAGATTACCCAGTTTGACCTGAATTCTGATACTGGGGAAATTACTCTTCTAAATGCATTAGATTTTGAGGAAGTCAAAGAATATTCCATAGTTTTGGAAGCAAAGGATGGTGGAGGAATGATTGCCCAGTGTACCGTGGAGATAGAAGTCCTAGACATAAATGACAATGTCCCAGAAGTGATATTCCAGTCTCTACCAGATCTTATTATGGAGGACACCAAGCTGGGAACACACATTGCTTTGCTCAAAATCCGTGACAAGGATTCCGGACACAATGGAGAAGTTATTTGTAAATTAGAAGGTGATGTTCCATTTAAAATACTCAATACTTCAAGAAACACGTATAAATTAGTGACAGATGGAGCTCTAGACCGCGAGCAGACCCCTGAGTATAACATCACCATCACAGCCACTGACAGAGGCAAGCCACCCCTCTCCTCCAGCTCAAGCATCACCCTGCACATCGGTGATGTAAACGACAACATGCCAGTTTTCGAACGGGCTTCCTACGTGGTCCACGTAGCAGAGAACAACCCTCCTGGCACCTCCATCACTCAAGTCCGCGCGCTGGATCCTGACCTGGGACTCAATGGCCACGTCTCCTATTCCATCGTGGCCAGCGACCTGGAGCCGCGCGCGCTGTCGTCCTACGTGTCCGTGAGCGCACAGAGCGGCGTGGTGTTCGCGCAGCGCGCCTTCGACCACGAGCAGCTGCGCGCCTTCGAGCTGACGCTGCAGGCCCGCGACCACGGCTCGCCCGCGCTCAGCGCCAACGTGAGCCTGCGCGTGCTGGTGGGCGACCGCAACGACAACGCGCCCAGGGTGCTGTACCCGGCGCCGGGGCCCGACGGCTCGGCACTCTTCGACACGGTGCCGCGCGCCGCGCAGCCCGGCTACCTGGTCACCAAGGTGGTGGCGGTGGACGCCGACTCTGGACACAACGCCTGGCTGTCCTACCACGTGCTGCAGGCCAGCGAGCCCGGACTYTTCAGCGTGGGGCTGCGCACGGGCGAGGTGCGCACGGCGCGGGCCCTGGGCGACAGGGACGCGGCCCGCCAGCGCCTGCTGGTTGCTGTGCGCGAYGGGGGACAGCCGGCCCTCTCGGCCACCGCCACRCTGCTCCTGGTTTTCGCGGACAGCCTGCAGGAGGCRCTGCCGGACCTCAGTGACCACTCTGAGCCCACTGACCCYCARGCTGAGCTGCAGTTTTACYTGGTGGTGGCCTTGGCCTTGATCTCSGTGCTYTTCYTCCTGGCAGTGATTCTGGCGGTCGCCCTACACCTKCGACGCTCCTCCAGCCCCGCTGCCTGGGGCTGCTTTCAGCCTGGTGTCTGTGTCAAGTCTGGCCCCGTGGTTCCCCCCAACTACAGTGAAGGAACTTTACCTTATTCCTACAATCTGTGCGTTGCCCATACTGGAAAGACAGAGTTTAATTTCCTAAGATGTAGTGATCCTTTGCATTCCACTCAAGACATAGTTTGTGGTGATTCTCCTGGGGCCTTAATTCCACTTCAGAGTGGGAATGATTTGACTTCACATCCTGAGACCCTAACACCGGTGAGTTTCATTTTTTTTGTCTTCTGTAACATTCTACTAGTTTTTTCATATTTGGGGCATACTCTTTCACTCTTACATCTAGAGTCATATTTAGAAAATACATAGCTAATCACTGTCTTGTCTTCTCAATGTTCAGTTTTTGCTGAGTACATTTTCAAGACTTTTGTGGTTCATAAATTGCTCTATAATTCAGAAAGAATGTCACTAAATTGGAGATATCTTGTCAAGCTTAGATTAGCAAAACAGAGGCTGTGGTCTTGGCTTCTTACCAAATAAATAAATTTAAATGAATAAATAATAACCTATTCACATCTGCTGAGATTTAAGTTGAAATTTCCATACCCTATTTATGTCTTTTTTAAAGTTTAATAATATTAGCTACTCATTAAATATCCCAGCAGGTGCTCATTTCAAAGAAACATGTAGTGCAAATGATCTTGTATGTGCATTTGGGTATCTTCATTTATTTTAACAATTTTTAAAACTGTAAGCCCTTGAGGGGGCATGGTGAGCGGATCCATGAATTCCTGAAATTGCATGTAAAGTTACAGATGTATGCATTTTTCTTGGTAGAGGAGTCAACACTTTGATTCCATTGCCAGGTTTCCTATGGGCCCAAAATCTTAATACTAACTACCCTAGAGGAATTTTTCTCTTCAAGTTTTGGTCCTTCTGGCTTTCCTTTTACTTTTCTTGGTGCTCAAATTGTACTCTTTCCCAACCCTTTTTTCTCTACATTGCAAGATAAGGAATTTTCAAGAAAGCCAATGAAATGCTATTGTGTTCTGTGCTCAGTCTCTGTCTCTGTCTGATATACAATCTTTGAAGACAAAAGGTAAAATCTTTGAAGAGTTCTATACTTGGGGGCATAGGGACATAAACGTTTCTGAACAACCTGTTCTCTCCGCATGAAAGAAGTCCACCTCCAAACTCCTCATCTTTGAGGAAAGAACTACTACTGGGTTGGTGGGGATGTACAACTGAAGATGTGTACGCCACTTTATTTTGGGCTTCCATACAACATGCAAAGAAGAGATTATTTATATAGGCATCAACGCCCTGGTGAAAACAGGTCATTTGACATAAATACGTATTTTCCACAAACCTACATCACTATTTCTAACTCCGTTTTTAAAAATTGTAGCACTTGTATTTCTCTTCCCACTGCAATACAGACATGTTCCTTTTAGTTTGTGATTACCAGCTCAACTCATTTAAATAGGTCAAGTTAACTTCTAATAATATTTGCCTGTAATAAAAAAATATATTTTTCAAAAAATTCATTGAGGCTCAGTAAAACTATTTTAGAAAAACTTGAAAACTTTTTACACAATCTTAATGCTAAACATAATTAGTTAGTTGATTCATCAATCTAAAATTTAAAAATTCTAAGTGAAATTTTAAGGGGTATATCTCATAGTCTCTGTATAAGTGTCTACTAAACACAGCTGGACCATTTAAATCAGAATTTCAAATAAAATTGTAAGAATTTTCTGAATATAGCTAGAAGCTCATAGGAAAGAAAGTAAGCATTACTTACCTTTTAAAGTGGATATATTTCTATTGGAAAAATTAGTGTTGCAAATATATATTCAATCAACTATTATCATTTAATACTTTGAGGTACTTTTATTCCACCGAGTAAGAAAACTACAAATAGTAGTTGATTTAAGGATGTCAGTTGAGGAACCAAAGAAGTAATGTAAAATAAAATAAAATATACAACAAAAAATAGAGTAGCGTTTGTTTTCTATTGCATACACAGTGGGTGCAGTAACTTCTGAGGACTCTGAGCGCCGCTGTTCACCCATTAGGAGAGAACCGCAGCCAGCGCTCAATCCGGATTCTCAGGACTCCCAACTACACAAAGCTCCACGGTTCCTGCATACAGGCTCCAGGGATGCAGCGAAACTCACTCCAGAATTTAAGGTGCGCAGGCTGCAGAGACTCCCTGCTGCCAGAGAAAGAAAAAGGACCCAGCCAAAACACACAGCGTGCCCAGTGAGGACTTAGCGAGAATTCCGTCACCAGACAACAATGGCCGCTCAAAGGAATAGCTCCGACCGCAGCGCGCTGGTCCAGCTCTGCCTTTTCCTCTGTATGCCGTGGCAGGCCGAAGCTCGGCAGATCCGCTACTCCGTTCCCGAGGAGTTAGAGAAAGGCTCTTTTGTGGGCAGCATCTCCAAAGACCTGGAGCTGGAGCCCCGGGAGCTGGCGGAGCGCGGAGTCCGCATCGTCTCCAGAGGTAGGACGCAGCTCTTTGCTCTGAATCCGCGAAGCGGCAGCTTGGTCACCGCGGGCAGGATAGACCGGGAGGAGCTCTGCGCTCAGAGCGCGCGGTGTCTGGTGAGTTTTAATATTCTTGTGGAAGATAGGGTGAAACTTTTCGGAGTAGAAATAGAAGTAACTGATATCAACGATAATGCACCAAAATTCCAAGCAGAAAATCTAGATGTAAAAATTAATGAAAACGTCGCTCCAGGAACGCGTTTTCCTCTCCCGGAAGCTGTTGATCCGGATGTGGGCGTGAACTCCCTACAGAGCTACCAGCTCAGCTCCAATAAGCACTTCTCCCTAGCAGTTCAAAGCCGTGTCAATGGCGTTAAGTACCCAGAGCTTGTGCTAGAGCACGCCCTGGATCGCGAGGAAGAGGCAATGCACCATCTGGTCCTAACTGCCGTCGACGGGGGTGACCCTCTCCGATCTGGCACTGTCCTCATCAGTGTGACTGTTTTCGATGCAAATGACAATGCTCCGGTCTTCAGTTTGTCCGAATACCGAGTGAGTGTTCCCGAGAACTTGCCTGTGGGCGCACAGCTGTTGACAGTCACCGCCACTGACAGGGATGAAGGTGCCAATGGAGAAGTGACATATTCATTCCGAAAATTACCTGACACACAACTGTTGAAATTCCAACTAAACAAAAATACGGGGGAAATAAAACTATCAGAAAATCTAGATTATGAAGAAACAGGTTTCTATGAAATAGAAATACAAGCTGAAGATGGAGGGGCATATCTTGCAACTTCTAAAGTGTTGATTACAGTAGAAGATGTAAATGACAACAGTCCAGAGGTGACGATCACATCTCTGTTTAGTCCCCTGATGGAAGATTCACCTCTGGGGACTGTTATAGCTCTTTTAAACGTGCATGATCTGGACTCCGGGCAGAATGGGCAGGTCACCTGTTCTATATTGGGGAATCTACCATTTAAGTTAGAAAAATCCATTGACAGTTATTATAGATTGGTGACACACAAAGTCCTTGACAGGGAACAGGTATCTTCTTACAATATCACAGTAAGAGCCACAGATGGAGGAAGTCCACCCCTATCCACGGAAATTCACTTCACCCTGCAAGTGGCAGATATCAATGACAACCCACCCACCTTCTCTCACATCTCCTACTTTACCTATATCCCAGAGAACAACCCCAGAGGTGCCTCTATCTTCTCAATGACTGCACTGGACCCAGACAGTGAAGAAAATGCTCGGGTTATTTACTCCCTGGCTGAAGACACTATCCAAGGGGCACCTCTATCCTCCTACGTCTCCATCAATTCTGACACAGGAGTACTGTATGCACTGCGATCCTTCGACTTTGAGCAGTTTCATGACCTGCAGATGCACGTGACAGCCACTGACAGTGGGGACCCACCGCTCAGCAGCAACGTGTTACTGAACATATTCGTGCTGGACCAGAATGACAATGCGCCTGAAATCCTGTACCCCACTCTCCCCACCGATGGTTCCACTGGCGTGGAGCTGGCACCCCGCTCTGCAGAGCCTGGCTACCTGGTGACCAAGGTGGTGGCTGTGGACAGAGACTCAGGTCAGAATGCCTGGCTGTCCTACCGCCTGCTCAAGGCCAGCGATCCGGGACTCTTCGCGGTGGGGCTGCACACGGGCGAGGTGCGCACAGCGAGGGCCCTGCTGGACAGAGACGCGCTCAAGCAGAGCCTGGTGGTGGCGGTCCAGGACCACGGCCAGCCCCCTCTCTCTGCCACCGTCACGCTCACCGTAGCTGTGGCTGATAGCATCCCGGATGTCCTGGCTGATCTGGGCAGCTTGGAGGTCCCGCACGCCTCTGATGCTTCAGGCCTCACGTTGTATCTGGTGGTGGCGGTGGCCGCGGTTTCCTGTGTCTTCCTCACCTTTGTCATTGTGCTGCTGGCGCTCAAGCTGAGGCGCTGGCACACGTCGCGTGTGCTCCGGGCTTCTGGAGGCGGATTGGCAGGCTTACCAGCCTCTCACTTTGTGGGCGTGGACGGGGTGCGGACTTTCCTGCAGACTTATTCCCACGAGGTCTCGCTCACCTCGGACTCGCGGAAGAGTCACGTGATCTTCCCGCAGCCCAGTTATGCAGACGCGCTCATCAGCCAGGAGAGCTGTGAGAAAAAGGATCCTCAGTCTTTGTTAGATGATTCGAAGTTTCCTATAGAAGATACCCCTTTGGTGCCAGTGAGTTCTATTTTTGTTCCTTTTCTATCCTTTAAAAATTATGGTTGGTTTTACTTTTAGGTTTGCAGCATGTTGGTGGAAACTTAATTTTTTCACTTTTCCCTCCATTTCAATGACATTTGCTTCTTGCTGAAACATTGAAGAGTAGAACTTGATGGTTATTAAGGCTGATTTGTTTTTACTTTCTGGTAACTATTCACCTAATCCCATGAAGGTTTATTGTAATAGGCTGTTATGAGTAGCTTCACGGAGTCTTGTATTTTATAGTTTTGTTACTGACAGTTCCTAAGAGAGGACTTTCATACAGTAGTGTCTTGTCAATTTGTGTGCTCTCCTGGTGGCTACATGTTGAAATCCTAGCCCCTTAGACAACCCTACCTCTTGCTTTGAAGGCAGGTCTGGTAAGAATAGGTAAATGTCAGAAACAAGTGTATTAGCCTCACTGGAAATCCTACCCATTTTCAATAATATTCTATTAACAATTCATAACAATACAATGTGTGCTTAAATTTTTTCAAGTGTAATCATACCTGGTAACACTGCAGCGTCCATTTTGCCTGTGATTCCAATTTCATACTGTCATGTGGGAGACATACCATTTATTTATTTATTTTGGCTAAGTTGGGTCTTCGTTGCTTTGCGCAGGCTTTTCTCTAGTTGTGGCGAGCGGGGGCTACTCTTCGTTGTGGTGTGCGGGCTTCTCATTGCGATGGCTTCTCTTGTTGCAGAGCACAGGCTCTAGGCGCATGGGCTTCAGTAGTTGTGGCGCTCGGCCTCAGTAGTGTGGCTCACTGGCTCTAGAGCGCAGGCTCAGTAGTTGTGGTGCACTGGGCTTAGTTGCTCCGTGGCATGTGGGATCTTCCCGGACCAGGGATCGAACCGTGTTCTCTGCATTGGCAGGCAGATTCTTAACCACTGCACCACCAGGGAAGTCCCAGAAGACATACCATTTGAATTTTACTTTCCTTGCTCAATAGGGATTCCAGAGAGCCTGTAGAAACAAATTTGGGGTTCTGTTCTCTCTTTACTTTTGGTTAAATTTTCCAGTTTCTAGGGATGAAAAAAAATATATATATATAATTTGGGGAGATAGAGTGGTACATGTTCCCAAGTACAGGGGCAAACATGTGTGCCAAAAGCATTTCGGTGACTCTTTATATAGAGAAAGAAATGTCCACCTGAAACTCTCTGAAATTTAAAGTCAAAATAAACTTAAAGTCAAGAAAGAGATATCATTTCTGTATGAGATCGGAATACAAGCAGAGAAGTACATAGAATTATAAACAGATGGTCAGTGGAGTTACTGATGAGCCCATTTAGTTAAGTGAAGTTAGTGATGTATTTGGTTTGATCTCTTATAATTTATTACTAATATTCTTCTAAACTAATAATGGTAGCGTAAAGTCAAATCACGTCCTAATGTGTTTCAAAATATTTATGAGACCATGACTTTTTTCATGTCATTCAACTTATGTTCAAGGATATGTCTGTGGAAGGAGAGCATAGTTATTATCTTTAGAGTCACAGTTATTAACTTTTATTTTTTAACTTTTAAATTATTGAAACTTATTTAAAATTTCTGACCATGAGAGTCAAAATTAGTATGCATCTATTTCAAATAATTCTATTATTTTGAAAAACACAGGTTAAAAAAAACTACTCTTTTGGCATGGTAACTATTGTAAGCAAGTGTCTTAAAATATAATTATTTAAAAGCAATATAGGACACCTTAGATGATTGTAATGAATATGACAGTGTTTGTATTCTGTTTCCTAAATATGGGGGGATGGATTAATACTTTTCTAGCCAAATATAAGCCTGGATTGAAGACCAAAAAAAAAAAAGGTTTTTGCTTATCTTTAGTACTTTCTTTTGTGGATAATTAGTCTTAAAAGCAGCAACAGTGATTGCCTCTGGATGGAAGAACTGGATAGCAGTAGGCAATGGAATAGGAGACCTACTTTTCACTCTACATTCTTTTGTGCCTTTTAGATTTTGAAAGAAATATTTCGACCTATTCAAAATATATGTAAAATTTTAACATATAAAATATATAATAGTTTTGACCATGTGAAAAAAATGTTTCATGGTGAAAACGGAGTCACCGAGGAATAAGATTCAAATATTTTAGCGGCGGTCATCCTGCGTTTAAAGAAAAAGACTTCCTTAAATAGAGCAGAGAAAAACTAAGCTGCCGTTCCACACGGAGCCTCTGGGCGCCGCTGTCGGCCAGTGCAGGGCAAGCCTAGTAGACGCCCGGGATTCCTCAGCCTGTAGCCAGGGATTTCCAGAGCAGCCACCAACACAGAGAGAAGGAAACCCGCTTACACGCTAGGGCTCCTGGCCGCGCAGACTCTCCCCAGCACAAACGGATTTCCAGCCCCAAGCCTGGGGGCTCCGCCTGTCCTGAGCCAAATGCGTTACCAGTGCGCCAGTGTACACTTTCTCCAACTATAAACCCTGGGACCCAGCGAGAACTAGAGCGCGCAATGGGAGGGAGCTGCACGCAGAGACGTCCGGCCGGCCGGCGGCAGGTACTGTTTCCCTTCCTGCTGCCTTTGTTCTACCCCGCGCTCTGCGAGCAGATCCGCTACTCCATTCCCGAGGAGCTGGCCAAGGGCTCTGTGGTAGGGAATCTCGCCAAGGATCTAGGGCTCAGTGTCCTGGATGTGTCGGCTCGAAAGCTGCGAGTTAGCGCGGAGAAGCTGCTTTTCAACGTAGACGCGGAGAGTGGGGACTTACTTGTGAAGGACCGAATAGACCGTGAGCAGATATGTAAAGAGAGAAGAAGATGTGAATTGCAGTTGGAGGCCGTGGTGGAAAATCCTTTAAATATTTTTCATGTCATTGTGGTTGTTGAGGATATTAATGACCATGCTCCTCAATTCCATAAGGATGAAATAAACATAGAAATCAGTGAATCTGTCAGTCTAGGGACGGGAACAATTCTTGAGTCTGCAAAAGATCCTGATATTAATATTAATTCACTGAGCAAATACCAACTAAGTCCTAATGAGTATTTCTCGTTAGTGGTGAAAGACAATCCTGAGGGTGGCAAATATCCAGAACTGGTATTGAAGAAGACCCTGGACCGAGAAACGCAGAGTGCTCACCACTTGGTGCTGACAGCCTTAGACAGCGGGGATCCGCCGCGAAGCGGCACCGTTCAGATCCGAATCCTGGTGGTGGATGCCAACGATAATCCCCCTGTGTTCAGCCAAGATGTGTACAAGGTCAGCCTCCGGGAAGATGTGCCCCCAGGTACCTTCGTGCTGAGGGTGAGCGCTACTGATCAAGATGAAGGCGTCAATGCAGAGATCACCTACTCATTCCTTGGTGTGGCTGATACAGCCCGGCACGTGTTCTCTCTGGATTCAGCTACAGGAAACATTATAACTCATCAACCCCTGGATTATGAAGATGTGAAAAGATATGCCATGGATGTAGAAGCAAAGGACCGAGGATCCCTCTCTACACAGTGTAAAGTAATTATAGAAGTTTTAGATGAAAATGACAACAGCCCAGAAATAATTATCACTTCTCTCTCTGATCAGATTTTGGAGGATTCCCGGCCAGGAATGGTTGTAGGTCTCTTCAAAACACGGGACCAGGATTCCAAGGAAAATGGAGAAGTCACATGTAATTTAAGTAGAGACATTCCATTTAAAATTCATTCTTCTTCTAATAATTACTACAAGTTAGTAACAGATGGGGCCCTGGACAGGGAACAGACTCCGGAATACAACGTCACTATCACAGCCACTGACAGGGGCAAGCCCCCGCTCTCCTCCAGCGCTACCATTATCCTACGCATCACCGACGTCAACGACAACGCTCCTGTTTTCCACCAGGCCTCCTACGTAGTCCATTTGGCCGAGAACAACCTGCCTGGAACCTCCATAGCGCAAGTCAGCGCCTCCGACCCCGACCTGGGGCCCAACGGCCACGTCTCCTATTCCATCCTGGCCAGCGACCTGGAGCCGCGCGCGCTGTCGTCCTACGTGTCCGTGAG